TAATTAAATTTCCATATTTTTTCATGTGTTTAATATAATGTAGTGTAAACAGGTTATTGTAAACATTTAATGTTTAAAACTGTCAAAACTACTTCAAGAATACTCCGTATTTATGTTATATGCTAGGTATTGTAATATATTTTATTATTTATACTTGGATGTCTTGATTCATGGCTAACATCAAAAGACAAAAACAGATTGTAATAGCATTGGTTTCACTGCCCTGCAATTATTACAATTAAATATTTTATCCAAAACATAATTAAAATAAGAATATATAAGATGTTTTTTTTAAACAACAGCTATTTACCGCAATCATAATTGTTATCACCTCATCCCTAATATCAGAGTCTGAAAAGTGTCCACTACCATTGTTGTTCAGTTCAAACAATATGTCCAAAAACAGTTTTGAATATTTTTCTAAACAATAATACATTTTATTTTGACATGCCAATTTTAATTGTATTGAATTTATGTTAACGGTTGTATACAATTGCATTGGAAAATATTTAGTAAATAATTCACAGTTCCAAATAACTCACCATCGTCATTTTTGGTTACGCCTATTTTACCATTTATTATTCCTTTTGTTCTCTTGTCAAATTCATCTTTCTTTTCCTTGATTACCTACAAATGTTAAATATAATTATGAACTGATCATAACAATATATATGTTTATAACAGTTATGGTTAGGTTAACTGCATCAAGTCGATAAGTGATTGCTTAAAAAATCCAAGGACCTAATCAGTGTACTCTCAAATGAACCATCCACTGTAATTATATTTCCTAACATGATTTCCTAATAAACATTAAATAACCATTTACATAATTTTTAGTTTCGATTAATGCATCATTGTTGTTTATTTTTTATATTCATATGTTTCGAATGTATGGTACTATGTGTATATATTAAAAATGATAAGTCAAAAAATACTTTCAAAAAAAAATAATAATAATGCTTGTCCTAAATAAAAATATGAATAATTGCAGTTAAATAAATATAAAAATTAAATATCATGAAATAATATTCTGAAAATAAAACATGTAAAATCTAAACAAATCATTGCACACAGGCCATGAGTACATAGTTCAGGCACTGGTTCTTAGTTGTAACATCAGACGTTGAGCATAACGGTGTATGATAATGAACAGCTATAGTGACTGTAAATGTTCACTGAAATCCTTAACTATAGAAGACATACTTGTAAAGGAAATTTGTTCACTGTTTCGAAGACCTTTTCCTGTCCAGTGAGTTTTAAATACATTGAAAATACGATATCTGGGTGTAACCATGGTTTGTAAATTCGCATCGCGTCTAACTCTGATACTCTATACAAACAAATTAATGTGGTTAATGCATTAAAATTTTATAATTTATTATTTAAGGTATAAAATGGAACATGGTAATTAAATGTTCAGTATAAATTCATTTTTTTTGTTGAATTGCATATTAAATGGTGTTGAATATGGTTAGGTTATTATTTTATAGTTAACACAATATATTAAGATGAAATTCATGTCCTAAGGACCATAAGTAAAATTACTTTACAGCTGCTTCTCCAAATTCACATTCATTATTGTTTGATTGAGTGTCAAGATTGTATCCCATAGTGGTTTCTAAAAA